GCAACGCTCGGTCGACCCGCACGCTGAGACCCGCATACAGCGCGGCGGACCCCGTCCGGTCGCGGCTGGGGCTCCGGCCTCGGCCTCGGCCTCAGCCTCGACACCGGCCGCCCCCATCGCGTGAGGTACACGACCCCTTGTAATTATGCCAATCTCACATAAACAGCGGCGGACGACGGCGGGCGTTATCGACCGGCGTGCGGCGGGCCGGCCAAGATCCCGGGCAAGCGGCCACGGCCGGCGCGAGCCCGGCGCACGCCCACGGCACCGTCTGTTTGGCGCCTCCAGACGGCCCACTCGGTCGGCGGGTGTCGAGTTTGCTTCCGCCACCGCGGATTGTCTTCGAGGAAATGACATGACCCCAGAGCGACGGCGCAGCGGGGCTGTCTTCAGCTACAAGGACGGCCAACGCGGAGCCACCCGACTGCCCTGCCTCGGAGCGGCGGGACCGTCCCGTCCCGTCCCGTCCTCGCCTGCACCGACTCATCACGTCGGGCTGTCCCGCGTGCCCGTCTCCGCCAGGGTGTCGCCTGCGCCGCGTGCCGGCGCCGCCGTCGCCCGGTCCCCGGGGGCCGGCCGGCTATGTTGTCGGCGCCGTAATGACATTTGGGCCGGGCCGGGCCGGCACACCGCCGCCGGCGCCGGGCGGCCCGACGCGGCACGGCACGACGCCGCCGCCCGCGCCGGGCCGCGGCTGGTCCTGGTGAGACGACCGGCGGCGCTCGATTACACGTAGCGTCGTGACATGGTCAATCGTGTAATTTGAAGCGCCGCAACCCGGCCCCGCGTGACCGGTGAGCCCCTTGGGCGTCACTTCAAAGCTGGAAACGACTTGACGGAAGGCGTGCCACACGTGCTGCTTTGGGGGCGAGCCGACAAACGAACCGACATTGGCTAGTTTATTTAGTTCATTTAGTTGGTTCATTGGCAGCAGTCATCCGCTGCGTGACTATAACAACGCAGCTCTCGAAAGCAGCACTCTAATCTATCGAACATTATCTCGGACTAATTTTTATCGCCCGTATTAGCTTGACTTCGAGCCAAACTGACGGCTGACAGCAGTCTGTAATTGGAGCGTGGCATTTCCGCTTCGCCTGGATTACTCGCAGGCCAGCACAGCCGATACCCTTTGCGCACTTCCGCTCCGGCGGCGCCCACGGTTGGGCGGCAGCTGACTTCGGCCGGCTTAACACGGACACGCCAGCGCGTCATCAACAAGAGCAAGATCACCCACGTACCCACCTGATACCCTTGAGCAAGTGCGAGTGGTTCCCTGGCGCAGGCGCAGCAACAGCCCGACACGCATCCCAGGATATGTGCTAAGGATGTTTCCAGAACTATGGCCGAGTGACAGACTTTCCCAGGAGCACTTTCTCATGAGCACGCCTTCGGGAGGAAAGCGTGCATGCAAAATACGCATTGGTGCTCTTTTTAAAACTTGCGGTCACTGTCACAAGTGAGCTGAATTTCACAGAATAAAGGGAACGTTCCACATTTTGAAGGAAGCATCAGATAGATCTTGCAAGATCTCGAAGGAAGTATCAGATATGATGGAACAAGTTCGCTTATGACTACTGGTACAATTCAAGGTGTGAAATACTGCTCTAGACATCACAATATCTCGATTCAGCAAATATGCTCCTAAATGCGAAATGCGTCTCCGGGGGGAGGGGGGGGGGGGGGGGTGCCCACGGGTACGGTGTCTCTGGGGAGGCGAGTGCCCGCGGGTATGGTGTCCCGGTGCGAGTGCCTGGCGAGGCGAGAGCGAGTGCCTGCCCGCCTGCGCATTTACGGTGCTCTTGGCCTGTCATGGCGGCGATGGCTGGCAGTCGGGTGATTCGCTTCAAACCGGGGCTTCCACATGCCTCCGTTGCACTTTCACACCGGTCTCTGAAAATTTTTCTGCCACTTCCACATTGAGTGTAATAAACATTACACTAATGATGATGTTACTGATACGTAAAAAGTAAAAGTAAATGCGGTTTCACGTCTTTTGATGGTACGCACAATCTTTCGGAGTTGGGATCAAGCTCCAGTCACGGCCCGGATGTGCGAGGAGCCGTTTGGGAACAGCATGACCCACGCTAGATAAGAGAAATCACCGCAATGCAACCTTGTTTTGTGCGCTTTAACATTCGGACAGAACAGGTTTTTTTTAACTTGCTCTTGGAAACACGGAAGACCATGGCGTGTAACATTGCAGTTCCCCGTCAGAATCTGCCATTGCGTCGGCGGTCACCGAAGCTGCAGTTCCGTCGCTGGAAAGATTTGCACAAGTTTGCGAACAAAGACAAGCTGACACGACTTACCCAAGCCCTAGCTTGGGTTCCTGGTTTCCAGATCGGGTAATAACTGCCAACAGTCTCCGACTCACCAGCCCGAGTTTTTCAGCTACAACGTGTGGAACGAGTACTTTGTGCATGATCTTCCCCGCGATCTCCATTCTTATTTTACTAGCAATTCTTATTGCTGAGCAATTTCCCAAAGCCAGACCCAGCAATGATTTTACAAATCTATTTGAATGATTGAGCCTGCGGTGAACTTTGCGTTACTCCCGCGGTGTATTTTCGGGCAGTCATGCTTAAGTGATTCGCCACTTCCACACACACCGCGCGTACGCGGCGCGTACAGGTCAATCAACAAGCGCTAACCGGCGACACGGACCCACCTTCACATTCCCCGCCCCACCTTCGCGCACGTTCTGGAAAGTAGCGTGGAAACCGACCGCACCCCATGAGCTGCCGGCGGCGGCGGCTGACTCGACACATCCGGAGCTCGCCCCAGGCGCGTAGGGGATGGGGTGAGTCGGGGTGGATGGTGGAGAACGGGCCTGAACGGCTGTTTACAACGATAAATCATGTCGGTGCTTTGAAAGAGGAGGCCTAATTTGGCGCAGTGTTCCTCCTCTAAACAAGCGAGCAACTCCGACGCTTGCAGGCAACAGATGCAGCCACACGTGCCCGCCAGCTAAACTCGTGGTCAGGCGACAGTTGTAAGAGTATCAGTATGGATGAAATTTTGCTTAAATGACTTGAGTGCATCTCCCGTAAATATGCTAACAGACTTCAGAAAAATACATCAAAACATCTGGGGACCACCCTAATGTTTATTCAACAGCACTTACGACACAAAACTGAAATACGATGTTACAAAATCTGATATTCCACGAACACTGAAAATGCACCTGTCTCCGACAATAACCACGCTTAGTTCAGCATATAACCAAGACACCTAGCACCCCAGCTAAATCGGCGCCTAACCTGAGCTTTTCTACATTAACATGCCGGGACAAGCGGGAAAACTCAGAAGTTGTTCATTCAGATTGATAAGTGAGTTATAACTACTTTATTGCCTGTCAATTTCTCCAGCAACTTGAAACCACGATCACAAACGGCTTCATTTACATGGATACGTTTTAATGAAACTAGAACCGTCAGCCAAGGACGGCGTAGTTTTGCAGAGCCAGGTCGAGCCTGTCCTCCGGGCCGACGAACCTTGGGTGCCTCCAAATATTGCTTTCTCCTAAGATTCGGACCACATCACGTTCCCATTTGAGGAGCATTGGCACGCCACTTCACGGTGCTTTGGCTTTGCTAGTATTTCTCGGGTCTGCATCGGTGTGGTGTTAGGGCGCACAGTGCTGGAGAGGGGGGGGGGGGCATCTGTCGCGTTACAAACACTGAGCTTCAACTTGTGACTGCCGTCCCTTAACCCTCAACAGAGGCGCCACTTCAAAAACAAATGTGGGGGCTCTTGACAGTAACTTGAAGCTTCCCTGAAGGCCTTCTTGTCGTGCTTCGCGATACGCCTGTTAAAATATGGAAAGATTGAGGGCCCCCGGCCTCAAAAGTGTATATGGGGATTTCCGCTAAAAATATCTGGTTTGTGCTGAACGTATGACATAGCAATATGCTCCCAGATGACACCACACTCCATTTTGGAAACAAACGGTACCATGTTTTGCTGTGCGTCAAATTTGCTCCACGGACATACCAATACATCAATGGGCAAAGCCATTGCAGTCACGAAAATCGATGAGTTTTACGCACGTGCGTTAAGTGTGCGTCAATTGCACGCCAACTACGTGCAGACGGCAAAAACACACAGCGTGGTCACTTCCGTCCAGACCTGACAAGCTTGTCATACGAGTTACTGCAATCTGCCCACCAAGAGCTATGAGTCACGTCTCCGTCGTCCCTGTGCAGTTACGCTCTAGCACATCGGCTTTGGAGGCACTATCGGGGTCGTGGCAGCCCCGTGACGCCAAACATGGCGGAACGCCCGGTGCACGTGAGTGTTAAGTGATGTCAAAGCACGGCTATCTCACAATATGTGGGTTATATATGGGTTGCATCACATCAACTTCTAACAATGCAAAAGTACTCAGACCATAGAGGCGGCTTCACAACCACCAACACGACACACAAGGTGACTGATCACTTACCGTCCGACCAGTGAACGATCTATGAGTGGCGCCGCGTGTGCAGCACCACTGTAATGGCCCACTGTACTGTTCAAAACGGGTGCGGTACCGCTCCAAGCGAGCCCATGATGGTCGGAAAGCGGGCGTTTCGCGGAACAGATGCTTCCAGGTGACCTGTGACGCATCACAGGTCACATCACATCACATCACATCATGTGATGTGATGCTCCGGGTGCGGATCCACTGGACGCTCCACTGGCACTGGCGTGGCTGTGAGGGGTGCAAGATCTGGTACCAGGCTTGTGATGATCAGGGAGCATGATCGGGCAACGAACCTGTGATGCTCGCGGTGTTGAATCTGGTAAATTGCCTGTGATGTTGCGGTGCGGGATCTGATCAACATCCAGTGATGCTTGGGGTGCGTGGATCTGGCCACTGACATGTGATGCTGCGGCGCCGGATATGGCCGACAAAGAGTGACGCTTAGTGTGCAGGATCTGGCATCCGACTTCCGAAGCGCGGGTGCAGGACCTGGTGACTGGCCTGCGATGCCCCTGTGCGGGATCTGGATACTGACCTGTGATGCTCGGGGTGCAGGATCTGGTCGGTGCGGAACGTCTCGGTGACGTATTTGTGAAAGTAGGTGGGGAACGGCAGCTCCGAGTCCATGTCGTACACCAGACACCGGTTGTCCGGCTGGTACATGAAGATCACGTGATAGTCCTGGCGGGCATGGCACAAAGGCGCTCGGTCAATGGGCGCCGGCCGGCTCCGGGCGCGGGCGGGGGCGCGGCCGGCGCACCGCAGGTCGGCCCCGGTGAGGTAACGGCCCGCGGTAAGCCGGCGGCGGCACGCAAGCCGCGCGCGGCGGCGGCGACGGCCGGTACGGGGTCGGCGGGCCGGCCGCTGCCGTCGACAGGTCAGCAGTCACGACCCGCGCCGGCCGATCACAGAGCGCCAGCCGACTGGCCGGCGTCAGGCCGCCGCCAGCGGGGACAGCTCGGCCCCGGCTGAAACGGGCCGCCGGCCGGACGTACTCACCTGAAACTAGTGATCAGATGCGAAAAGGTACCACGACTGCTCTATGGCAGTCACCGGCTGTCCCCTTCCCAAAGCCAGTGCATGAAAACGTTCATTTTTGTCCGGTCATGACAACGGTGCGGCTGCCACCATTTTTGCCCGTCGTATTACGCAAAGGTCATTCGTTCGTTAGTTTTTGGAAGATGGAATTTGAATCGCCTTCGTCTGACTAGATGAAAATCTGCAACGGGAAGTTATCACGCTTGCTGTAATCGGAGGAGACGCAAGATGTTGTCCAAAACAAACCAATCTCCACAAATAGGGAAAGTAATACAAAAATGTATTATTTTGCAATAAAACATCACAAAACGCTTAATTATGAATATTATATATGGCATGACCCACACGATGCGGTAACAGCTTCTTTTTATTTGAGCCTAAATAAGCTGCAACTGGTAAAATGTACATGGGGATTATTTTAGTTGATTCCAATGCGCCGAGAAATGATCGCGAAACTGGAGCCTTTTTTACATCCTAAATAGCATCAACGTCCATGCAACTAGCGCAAAAAAAGAATTGCACGCATTCAGGCTTACCCAGCCACAAAACTTAAAATCAGATCATGAACATAAAGCTGGCAGCAAAAGTGGTAGTGTGTAATATCACGACCCTCAAAGCCTAGAAGCGCTACTCCCAGAACTGTGCCGCATTTTGCCGCGTTATTTAAACTCTTACCACGTCGTCGGCCTGTCTGGCTTGAGCTAGGGTATGGGGAGTGACGGGGGAGCGTCGTAAAACGTTCACGAAACAAAGACCGCTTTGATTGCCTCACGTCCACGGGCCTCCAGGAAATGAAAGTCTGTGACGCGCCCCACCCCGCTGCATCCTATCAAACCAACGCGAAGCCATCCCACAAAACTCGCCGGCGCGACCGCAGCCGGTCCGGACAGTGGCGCGGCTACACCTCGTCCCCGCTGACGGCAGCGAGGCGCGTGACCGCCGTGAGCCGTCCCGGCGCCGGCCGCCTGAGCCCTGACCCGTCCCGGAGCCGGCGGCCTGAGCTCGGCGTACGCGGCGGGACGGCGGCGTCAGTGGCCGAGTCGGTGCGGCACAGAGCCCGTGGCCGGCCGGCCTGGGCGGGCATACAACAAACAAATCAATAGCGGAGTCCGACCCCGGCGTCCAGGGAGTGGCCACGCCCAGACGGAGCCGCCCGTTCTGACGGTTGCAGCGTGTCGAGACAGGCACACGCCCACACGGAGCAGCCCGTCATTAACGGCTGCAGCGGTGTCGAGACAGGCACACGCCCAGACGGAGCAGCCCGTCATTAACGACTGCAGCGGTGTCGAGACAGGCACACGCCCAGACGGAGCAGCCCGTCTTTAGCGGCTGCAGCGTGTCGAGACAGGAACACGCCCAGACGGACCAGCCCGTTATTAACGGCTGCAGCGGTGTCGAGACAAGCACACGCCCAGATGGAACGGCCGGATCCGACGGCTTCAGCGGCGTCGAGACAGGCGCACACGCCCAGACGGGGCCGCCCGTCCTGGCGGTTGCAGCGGTGTCGAGACAGGCGCGTACGCAGACGGAACGGCCGGTTCTGACGGCTGCAGCGGTGTCGAGACAGGCGCACACGCCCTGGTGGTACGCCAGTACCCAGACAGGCAAATACATCCTGACAGGCAAATGCAGCAGCATCGAAGCGAGCCAACGGCATGCCAGTACGGCGGCGTCGGGACCAACACACGCGATCCCGCAACACCGCAGCATAGAGACGGACACGGCCTGACGGGACAGCAGTGCCGGCGCGAGTCAACACACTCCGATGGCGCCACGGAACCGGACCAACAACGCTCCATCCAGCTCAGCATCCCAGCAAAATGTAAGGCCATTTTCCAGCTTCACCAGGGAAGTTGAGACACCGCAAAATGACGCAATGAATTTTCGAAGGCACGCGTAAAAGCCGTGCGCGCGCGTTGCCTCCTTCACCGTGGTGGGAGTTCTGAGATCTTCGATGCAACGAATCCGATCCGGATCGATCGATACATACTCAGATGGGATCTGGTGACCTAGACATGACAGCCTCCGCGTGTCATGCTGTATTTGTTGGGCAACAACTTGAAACCCGCTCGGCTTAGTCTATTCAGGAGCGTACGCAGAAGTTTCGTAAGACTACTGACATCTGGGCTGGTCAACAGTACGTCATCAGCGTAAATACATACGCTAGGATATCGACCAGTAGCCGATGCATCATCGCGTGTTGAAGTACGATAACTGGGCGCAGCACATTGACATCCGATATGAACAACACCTTTTAGATGTGACAGCGTAGAAGGCGCGTGGAAGCGTAGAAGGCGCAAATATTTTGCGATCCTTCAGACGTTTTTCAGCTCCAGAACGCCCACGTTACGTCTAACGAGGTTACAACGTTCCATCCATCCAACGAATACAGGAAATCGGCACGGTAAGGGAGCTCGAACTTTTCGGTAGCAGGCGCTTAGTAATCTCTCGCATGTCTTGGACAGTGCGGAACTCGGTGGAATTTCTCTTTGGAACCAGCATGACGAGAGGATTCCAGTCGCAGGGTTCGCCCACAGCAATAACGCCACTGGCCTGCGATGCGTCTGTTTGATGCTCTAACGCCTTCTCTTTGGCGCATGGCTCCAGATGCGGTTTCGAAAACCGGAGTGGCTCCTTCCTGGCCTAAGCTCCAAATCGACATCGCCTCCAGCGTAACATACCGTGTCTAGATAACCGTTAGAAAACACTCCGGCAAATGCTTGCAACAAGGTCATTTGCTTGCGTGACGCTTCCTCGATGTCATCGCTAATCGCAAACTGGACCAAGATCTCCCCTGGTTCCATGCCACGAAACTACAGATCGCTACTGAACACAGCGTTCGTGTCTGCCGTGCCGAAGTTGACGTCGGGAGGTGCTGCGTCAGTTTCGCAAGCGCCATCGGCAGGCTGCAAATGGCCAGCAACATTGCGTCTGTGAAGCGTCACAAGTCGGCCTGAGCGATTCCTCACAGACAGCACTGCTCCGGTCGCTAGCCAAGTTTATGTCAGGTTCGAATTACAGGAAATGTTTCACATTTCAGGATATTGAGGCAAGCATCAGATACGATGGAAAATCTCACTTGTACGTGGTGGTATACTTCTGCATGGAAAGGACTGCTCTAGACACCGCAATTTCTCTTTTGAGTGCACGTGCCCCTCACTGCGTTATTTGATCGGGTCATCACGCATTACACAGCATGGATCGAGAGCCAATCGACGGTCGTTATATCTGGAAATCGTGCTCGCGAGCGCCAGATGTAAGCGACTCGAAAAATACATCTTTTTGGCCTTGATCCCCGCATGGGCAATGAAATGACAGGATTTGAATGACGTTATTGGGACGTCATGGATGCCTGGGTGATCTAGAGTCTCCTCCAAATAGTCTGCACACCTTCGCGGACGTGTAGTTTAGAAACCAGGAGGGCTTAGGTTTTTAGAAATGCCGGGCTGTGCGTTGCACTCAATGATCTTCAAAACGGCTATTTCAGTTCAGACCCCCATACAAATGTGGAACACCCTCTTTAACGTTATCCCCATTGTCTTACGATAGCTTCCTGACGCAAATAAAATAGGATTTTTTAGCATTTGGGACAGCCGTCTCCCAGTACGCTAGCGCATATAAAGAGGGCGAGGGAGGGGGTGGGCTATTACCAACCGTTTTCTGTGAAACTTGCAAACGACTGACCCGTGATGATGAACGAAAATTGGTTACAGGTTAAGTTTGTTTCTCATGGCACACCTGCGTCCCTGACAGTCAGCACATCACAGCCGGTTCCCGGTAACGCATTTGGTCAGGCAGAGGCCAGGTCGGCCAGAGAATCCCGTGAATGATTCTGAATGAATTCTGAAATAACGCAAGCATAAATCGTCTACGGAAGTTCCGTCGCCTCGCAAAGAAAGCCCACAAGCACTTCATTTTTATATTTGTTTAGAATTATCTGACGAGCCGAAAACCGTTCCATGGTCCAACATTAGAACAACCCGCTGCCGGGTTCAACATTGTGACAATCCGCCTCAAGAACACTGAGAACGTTGTAGAACACAGTTGTTCACTGCCTGCGGCTCTCTAGGAAACACCCAATGACTGTCGGGCGTTTCTTTCAAATGAACGTGAGCGATAACACCACTGCACGGGAAGACTCGATAGCTCGTCACACATATTGCAGAAACAGCACAAGGCTGGAAAAGACGATGCCACGGGAACGTTACTGCGCGATAAGTAAGCTGTTAGTGCGGAAAACATCACGTAATTACCTCTACGAGGACGCAATTAGCCAAGCGAGAACTGTCGTCAAAAACCAGTGCTGTCCTCCCGTCAGTGTCAGACAAACAAACCAGCGCTGTCCTCCCGTCAGTGCCAGACAAACAAACCAGTGCTGTCCTCCCGTCAGTGCCAGACAAACGTCAACGGCGTGGCGGCCTTCCGCCGCTGTTCACCACAGCAATTTGAGTGTGATGTGTACACTCCCCATGTCCCTGGGTGCGCCGTGCTGCTTCATATGGGCGGAGCCCCGACTTGTGGCGCTGGCAAACAGCCCGATGTCGCGGCGAACGTTTCGAACGTGTCGCCACACGGCAATCAATAGCATATCATACAGTGAGGCGACGCGGGAGGGTCCGTTAACACGCCCCGGCTGTTTGTCGTATCACCACGGCCGTAACGACTCGTATGGCCCGCAACGGCGCGGCGATGATCGATAGCGAGAGTGTCGCCATACGGCCAACGCCGAATCAACACGACTGCGAAATGACTCGAATAGCGGGGCCCCGAGTCAGCCGAGGGACACAGACAGGTGACATCAGCTGGCACGCGACGCGCCCGTCACGCGTGGCTGCCTCCGCCCCGTCACACGCTGGCGCTGGCAGCTCCACCGAGCCGACAGCGCGGTGCCGAATCACGCCCAAGTATGCGGATCGAAACGGGCCGTGGACTAGGGGCAGCGTGCAATGATATAAGCAATGCGCTCTCTGAGCCAATAGCAGCCTTAAAATACCGACGTAAGGGACAGCATTACATGTCATACGATCAGCTTGGTTCAGCGCTGGAAAACTCGGGTTTCGTGTGATTGAGAAATAGTCAGCTTCCGCCCTTTCGGCAGGGGAGGTCAGTACATGATGCAGATTGATTGCTACCGGCGTCATCTGCATCATTCAAACCTGAGTGAACAGCGACGCGTGATTATAGGATTGTCTGGCTCGTGTATACTCTAGAGGCCCCGCAACTCTGATACGCCTCCGCAACAGCACTTTGGAAAACTCTAAAAATGAGAAAATGAGAGAACATTTAACAAAGCCCACACACAATGCTGAGCAATAGCATGGAGCGGCTTCACCGGCTTCGGTGATGATGTTCCTCACCCGGCTGCGACACACATTGACCCAGATGCTGATACGCCTCACCCGGCTCCGACACACTGACCCAGACGATGATACACCTCACCCAGCTGCGTCACACGCTGACCCAGATGATGATACACCTCACCCAGCTGCGTCACACGCTGACCCAGATGATACACCTCACCCAGCTGCGTCACACATTGACCCAGAGGATGATACACCTCACCCAGCTGCGTCACACACTGACCCAGATGATGATACACCTCACCCGGCTGCGTCACACACTGACCCAGGTGATGACGCACCTCACCCGGCTGCGCCAGTGACCCAGATGATGATACACCTCACCCGGCTGCGTCACACACTGACCCAGGTGATGACGCACCTCACCCGGCTGCGCCAGTGACCCAGATGATGATACACCTCACCCGGCTGCGTCACACACTGACCCAGGTGATGACGCACCTCACCCGGCTGCGCCAGTGACCCAGATGATGATTCACCTCATCCGGCTTGGACATGCACTGGCCCAGATGATGATGCACTTTACCCGGTTACATCAAACACTGGCCAAGAGGATGATACACCTCGCCCAGCTTCGTCACACAATGACCCAGATGATGATACACCTCACCCAGCTGGATCACGCATTGACCCAGATGATGATACACCTCCCCGGCTGTGATACACACACTGACCCAGATGATGATACATTTCACCAAGCTCGGCCACACACTGACCCAGATGATGATACACCTTACCTGACTGCGTCACACACTCACCCAGATGATATTACACCTCACCCGGCCGCGCCACACATTGACCCAGACGATGACACACCGCGCCTGGCTGCGTCACACACTCACCCAGATGACGACCTTGTCGTCGGTGCGGCCGGCGCGCTGTCGCCACAGTGGCACCGTCTGGTTCTGGTTCGAGATGAAGACGGCGTGACAGAAGGGCAGCTCCTGTGCGAACTTCTCTCGCACGTGCCGGCAGAGTAGCCAGACGTTTTCCTCGCTGCGGCAGAGGTCAAGCCAGGTCACGTCAAGTCGGCTCGCAAACCGCTGAACGGCTTGGCCCTGTCCTGAGACGTGCCTGGGGCGGTGCCTGGCGCGGCATCGGGTGAACGGGGCAACCCACATTTGTCTGTGTATGTGTCTGTGTCTGTGTCTGTGTCTGTGTCTGTGTCTGTGTCTGTGTCTGTGTCTGTGCCTGTGCCTGTGCCTGTGCCTGTATCTGCGACTGTCTCCGTCTCTCTGTTTCTGTTTCTGTCTGTTTCTGCCTCTGTCTCTGTCTTTGTCTCTGTCTCTGTCTCTGTCCCTGCCTCCGCCTCCGTGCCTCTGTCACTGTTGCTATCTTTGTCTTTGACACGGTCTGTCTCTTCCTCTACCTCTACCTCTACCCCTGACTCTACCTCTGCCTCTGCATCTGCTTCTGCCCCTGCCCCTGCCCCTGCCCCTGCCCCTGCCCCTGCCTCTGTCTGTCTCCGTATCTATCTCCGTCTGTCTCTGCCTCTGGCTAGGCCTCTGTCTCTGCCTTCTGCCTTCTGCCTCTGCCTTTGCCTCTGTCACTGTCTTCTTGCCTTTGCCTTTGTCCTTGTGTTTGTCCCATTTGCTTGAAGACCAAAGACTGAGCCTTGCTGGACTAGGACATGTGTCACGACACGAGGCACCACACTGGACTAGACGTCATGCGCCCCAGCCAGCCGCGGATAATGGCCGCCGGGCGCGGGCCTGTCCGCCGCGGCTCTGTCACGTCCTGGCCCTGATCAGCTGCGGCCGTCGGGCACCGCGCGCCACGACTCCTCACGGAGCGCGCACGTCCTGTGTCCAAACCGCGCTGACCTGGGCTAGACGCTCTCCAGGCCGACCGCAAAACAAGAGGGCCGTCAGCAGACGGCGGAGTCCGCAGACGCCACTCACGCCACCTCTCGGCCCAGCAAACTAGCTTCCGCTACAAGGAAACTTATCTAACAGCCGTCGCGTAACTTCTCGCGAAGTCTTCAGGGAACTATTGCGCTGCGCAACTTGTCCTGATAGGCTCGCAATTCTCACGACACGTGGAGGCCGCAGAAGGCCGTATTCACAGAACGGGACACAACTTTTAAGGGAAGCGTTTTGGACACCCGAGCCGGCGTCACGCACGGGCAGTCTGCCGTCAGGACACCGCTCTGCAGGACGGCCGTGCCGGCCGGCGACAGCGAGGCCGCAGCTCCGGTGTCACCGACACGGCCCGCTCTGTGCGTCGGCGGGCGCGGTGACACCGGACACCTGAGCCCTGAGCTGACAGCGGCGGCGCGTCCCTCGTGCCGGCCGGCCGGGATCGATGCCCGTCTGTGGACGCCGCCGGGCCAATACCACCGCCCGCGCCGCCCGCGCCGGCCGGCTGGCACGGCTGCTGCGGTCGCACCAGCCGAGAGGTGCCCAGAATAGGCGCGCGCCACGTGTCCGGCGGCCTGAGGGAAGTCAGGCCGGCCCCGGGTGGCGCAGTCGCTCCGTGAAATGCAGGTCAACTGTTCACACGTCGACGGGGGATTGTACTAAAGGAATGCGAACACACTGAAGCATGCATTTCTGCAGCGGTAACATCGCGAAGTGTAGGTCTAAGTTGTCGCCCGAATCTACGTAGATGCATTTGCCTTCCGACTCATTTCAGGGAAGAGCAGTAATACGTGTATCAGTTGCAATTCCAAGCTGTAATAAGCCCTCTTCCCTGGGGCAATAAGCATTGGGGTATGCATGCCCCACAAAAGCACATACAGAGCCAACGGCGTGATATCATCACGAAAACATAGTGGAGAAACCCCTAAAACAGTGTAATCCAAGCGCAAATGGAGAGCGAAACATAAACGATAACTGCAGCCTGCCACAACAGCTGCTGGTAACCACAGCCATCAATCCAAAGGTGTGCGTCATGGAGCATGGCCAGGTATATGCAGCCCCAACGTCCGCCATTATGCGGCCCCATGCACTCAGTGGCCCGTCGCTGCCCGGCGTCATGTCCTGCTGGCCTCCTGCGCGGCCCAGCGCCACTCCTTGCCGCCGGCCGGCTCCGGCGCACCGTCTGGAGTCGGCGCTCGCGTGCCCGCCGGATGCCGGTCCAATCTGGAGCTACCACTCATCGGCACGGCCTCGGCGTACTGCGTCGGCGAATGATTGGCCCATCTGGCCGGCGGCCGGTGATGGAGGCGCGCCATTGCCTGAGATGGGCGGCCGCGCGCGCCACCCGCCGCCCACCGGAGCCTGAATGGGCAGGGCGGACGGCGGCCGCTGCGAAACTCCCCGAGGCAGCCGGCGCGCAGGCCGAGGCGGTGGGGTCACTCAAGGTGACGCACGCGACAGCGAACGTTTGCCGCCGATAGGATACAGTACGGCAACCCACCAGCCAGAGACCATGGTGCGGTCTCTGGGCCTCTCGGTGGTGGCGGTATGAGGGTGTGTGGGACGCGTCTTCTGTTCGCTAGTGCAAGGTCAATTCCGATAATCCTGCGCGTGGCACGCATCTGAGACTGCGGGGAATCATGATTGGAAGTGTCAAACTGGAATCTGGGGGGAAAATCCTACCCGATGACACTTACAACAGGAAAACATGAAAACGTGCATTATACGAAAAAAATTGGAGTGAGACAAAACGCATTCTGAAAAAGTGGGGAGGGGTTAGGTGCCCCGCTCAGCTCTCAGCCCCGTAGTGATTATACCCATGCTAATGGTGTGCGCCGGGCGGCTTAACCGGGGCGACCGTGCTGTGGTTAGGTTACTTAGGGCAGCCAAATACGCGCGTGCGTACCTCGTGCACTGGTACCTGCTTCTGCTGATCCGATCCGCGTGCTCAATAGTCAATGCGCTCGTCAGCATTTACGGACGGCCCAGTACGGACTACGACCAGCAAACCACAGTGTCCGCGGTTTGGAAAAGATACGGAGCACCAGGATCCATTACGGTAGCAAAACGCTCCAAGCTTTTCCACACAGCCGTCAACGAGGATTTACGCGGTCCGACTTCCGAAACGAATGCCCCTTGGGTGCGAAGTTCATACATATGAGGTCATAACACACGCTTCGGGAGCCGATGCGGCCTAAACCGTGTCAGGTCACGGGGCTTTGACGTCATCCTGTGCGCTTTGGGCCGCTGCGGGCAGCGCCCGGAGCTTGATGTGCCCCGGCTGGGGCCGATCAATGGCACGTGACGCGGAAGTCGGCCGCGTGACGCGAGTGGAGACTTCTTAACGGTGGAATTCCACGGAGTACGATCACAAACACTCGAATGAGCGACTGCCAGACTGACATCCTGCATCATTCATGCCGTTTTAAACAGCTTGATATGGTTTTTCATGTTCATCTTCATGCCGCGCTTAACGACGATAAGAAATCATGCGACTACGAGAAGCATTTTAAGAACGCCAAGCGACCGTTTTGAGCTGCGTTAAGTCCAACGGTAACGTGCGCAAATCACATGTTGTGCCTACTGGAACTTGTCCTGTTGTTACTTCGCCCGCCCCACAGGCACATACCCCGAACTATCATTTAACTTACAGGTCACAGCGCCATTGGAAGCATTGCCATCAGCTGTATGACAAGCGTGTCTCCGGGATGGACGAAGCCAATGCATTACAGGGCCAGGAAAGCCTCCTTCCCTCGCGTGGCCCGGTCGCGAGCGCGCGGCGGCACCTACAAAGGTCCGCCTGGTCGCGCGCCAGGCCTTTCGGCATGTTCACTGCCGCGCCGCGCGGCGCATTCGGCTAAAACACGGCGGAGAACACATAAACACACATGCAGCGCGCAATCGATCAGCGGCGAACACGTCCGGCGCCGCCCAGAGCCGGAGCCGGAGCCGGGCCCTGCCGCCTAGACCCGGCTCGACAGGGAGATGACGGCTGCGTCGAGACCTGGCAGCGCAGCCGGGCGGCGCGGCAGCCGGCGCGGTCGGGGTGGTCCGCCGGTGGCAGCGCGACAAAGGCGCAAGGCACGCCGCCAGGTGGCGACGCTGGCGTGCCTGCCGAGCCGGCCGGCTCTCCGCTGCAGCCGTCACCGGCAGCATTTGCACCGCCAGCCGTACGTGGTACTGAAAGGCGCTCGTCGACACAGACGTTTTCCAGGCCAGCAGTGCCTCGGCAGATGTTTAGCGGGCTCTGATTTTGGTCATGGTGAGCACGTCACGGTTTGTGGGCGGGTGGTGTGACGCACGACAACTTTTCTCACACTCAAAGTTCATGAGAACTTCTGACCCAGACCGGTCTTATTCCGGAAGGCAAGCCAATCCTTCTGAGCCCATGTCAACAGACTGCTTCCGGCGCCTATCTCTCAGCCTGCACATGACCTCCAACGCAACCTCCAGCAGAATGACCTCCAGGTGGCAGAACAGAGCGACTGGAGCCCAAGCCGTCTGAGCACGTCACCGAGGAACGAATAACCTGGTCATTTCTCGTTCTTAAAAGGAGAAAACGACATACGTCGTCACATTCCTTTTGTGGAGCACCAGCGACTTCACTGGCCATATCAACATTCAAGGGTCATGGCGCAACCGGGATTCGAACCTGGGCCTCCCACATGACAGTCCGACAGGACAACCACTCGGGTCATTACGCCCCCCTGTCATTGCTCCACAAAATGGTCATCGCTCAGTAATTTCCCATTATATGTGTACAATGCATAGAAGCACCCTCACAACTTAGTTCGTGCGCTACATCAACAATTAGCCCGGTGAGCGCCCTGTCCCGCATCCCACTGACGGGAAGCACACCCCCCGCGGCCCATCAGTGGCGGTGGCGCGGCCCATCAGCGGCGGCCCGCCTGGGTGCAGCACACACCAGGGAACCGGAGTCGATCCCCGGCAGCCGGCCACGGTCGGAAGTGTCGGCCGGGCCGGCGACGCCCCGACAGCACCGCACCACACAGCGGCGCGTGCTGCAGCGCCCAGGGCCATCCTCAACTCAGCGCTATGCAATAAGCGAGGTTCTGGTACGTGTTTGTTCAAATATTCGGACATGCAGCAGGTAGCATCATTCTTTTCCAGAAAGGTGGTGCTGACGCCAGGTCCTGGTACGAGCTAGGTCGCGGGTCGATGACTCTTCCTTGAACTTTAACAAAACTCTAAAACGCACTAGACCTGCCTGGTCATGCCGCCAAACTTGCTGGAAAAACATCTTTGAAAACACTCATGTGGTTAAAAAAAACACTGTTATTATGCTATCCTGCATGAACGGTTAGAAATCTGCACGCAAGTTAACTGACATGCGAATTTTACCAGCAGCATTTCAATATCAAAAATATTTCTCGTCTCATAACAGTTGACAAGAAAAAGGCAAAATTTTCAGCCTGCGCAAAAGCTGAAGGAACCAAATCGGAGCCGAATCCAGCTCCCGCCGCACCGGCGCCGCAGCACGCAACACTAATATGGAGAACACGCCCGTCACGTGGAGTAGGGCAAGGCGTGCAGGCAGCCGCGCGCTCGCATACGCAAACAACGGGGTCTGCACGTCCTGGGTCATTTTTCAGGATTGTTGTCAGATTCCAGCAGCAAGAGAAGATAAAGACGTTGAACTAAGAAAACGTTGTAAGCGAGTGGACCTGCTACAACTCGTCGGCGAACATCAAAGCCGTCCGACCCATGGAACCGAGCGGGCGGCGGCCAGTGTCATCTGTTTGGAAACCTACCTCCGATGCAAGACCTTGTTGGCTTTTTCGTGTTTGTGTATGTGTATATGCGGCATTGAGGCTTTACGACGCAATATGCTGCTGAGGCTATGTGGCGTCGCCTGCCTCCCACTCTGGCGGGAAGGCCGGGCACCGTGGGGAATGGAACCCCGTACCTCTGGTTTCCCAGACGTGCAATAGTCACCGCAGACGCGTTAGCCGCTCCACTATCGGCACCCTGTTATAAGCTTAATCGAGAAGCTGTTTTTAACACGTTGTTTGATACATTCAACTCACAGGTACGTGTGGGCTGTCGTGTGGGGTGGGGTGTCACAGCTTAACACTTTCGCCAGCATCTCGGATTACTCGGGCCAGGCGCTTTATGACCTCATTTTGTAAATATGCCAATAACCCATTTGCGAGGTCATGTGATTGTTGGACCATATTATCAATCGTAGGTCCGCACCACACCACACGGCACGCACAGCCCAGCTGGCCTATCCAAATATTGGGACACTTCGCCGGTACTCGATGTTCGAAACTATTTGGGGGGGGGGGGGGCATCTGCAGCACATAGTGATGGCACCCAGATGGCGGCAATCTTAAGCAACGATGAAAGCAAGGGTTGGGAGGCTAGGAGATAAGGGCAAAAACATGTTCTGAATATGTTCTGAATAGGCATGGGCAATGACAAAATGTGCTGCAGTGCAATAGCAGCCCATTCACCTATTGGGTAGATCCCCACACAAATACTGCAAATGGAAACAGAGCAGCATTTACCCAGCACATGAAAGTTCATGGCTTTCAACCAGTGCTTGGGGGGGAGGGGTTGCAAATAGGTTCAAATGCTTCCTGCTCTTCCCAGAAAATTTGTGTTTCTGCCATGACCTGAGAAAATTATGTTTTCAAAGAGCACTTACAAATTGATGTCATAGTTGGGCCATTAAAAGGGCAGACCATCCTGCTGCCAGGTTATTGAAATTATGAATGCCAGATGGAATATTGCCATAATCATCTCCACCTGCAGACAATGTGGCAGTGTCTCACAGCTTATAACTTACCAGTAATGTAGAGTGTGGCTGCATTCCTTCACAGGTGGTAGAATCGCCTTCACCTTTTGCCGCTGTGGACTTTCTGCAGCCATACTGATATGCAACTTTGATGGAACAATCTGAAAACACAAGCTCATTAGCCCTGAGAAACAACAATTAACTGACCAGTGACTAATTATCTTAAATAATTGAGTCAAATGACCACAAAAGCTTTGTGAGATACACACATAGCCCACAAAATGGAAAACTACAAGAGTTTTTGATAAGCCAGCCATCAGCTCAGTGGCTGGAGCAACCATAGAAGATCTGAGGTATGACTTTCATAAGGCTGCTTGGTTGGCAGCTTCAGTAACTTCCCTCTCATGTAAGCTCTTGCCCCATGAAGACCTTTGGATATTCAATACATAGATATCATTTACAGATATGCTGGACTGTTTCAAAAGACTGCATGCCAACTTGCCACTTAAAAGGTTCCAATGCATCATTCTCTCAATAAAGGTCATCTGACAATTCAATTATTACCCTCTGTGTGCAGTACCTACAAAATGTGATGGTTGAGACAGAAATAATCAAGGAAAGGAATTAAGGAAGTGATACTAATGTCATACAACAAGCACCATTTGTCATTTGATTTCCATAATTTTACTGCTTTATAAGAATTTTTGAATCCAGAGTTACAAACAAATTGATGGAATCTCAGGACAAATGCCAGAATGTCATGTGTTAAGGCAATCTAACAAAATGCATTACAGAATGTAAAAAGTAGTAGTCACATGATGTAAAAAATTATTGATGCTAACCACAACACATAACTGAGATGCATACCTATTGCTCAATTATATCATATCCTTCTAGGCATGCAGGCACCCAGATGGCACAGACTGGTGCGCATGCTCCTCTCCAGATGGGAAATGGCCTGTTCAACCCACCTCATACAGAATCTGCCTCACTTAAGCTAATGAAGCTATCAGTTATTGGTCTAAGTAACCTGGAAGTTCATGCTTTCACAGGATACTGATATTGCTATGTTTTCCTTCTGATTTGATGAACCAGACATTATCACAGCTTACCTCTTCAGACTAAATCAGTTTATGTTTCAAGTTGGTGCCACACAGATGCTATGAAAAAATAGCTCAGATGTGGTAGCTGTGTTGAGTTGCATTTACTGGTCACCACAAAATCAGAAAAGCCTAACTCATGTCCAGTCAGGATTTTTATCAAGAGCTTATTCTTTGTTGTTTATCAATGCATTCCTAAAATCTTTAATATTGCAACTTCTGAATGACTGTATCTGGTGACCCAAAATCATGGGGTCAAAATGCATTGCAAGCCCTCTCAATTAAAAACTGGGAGCAGGCCAATATGGCTTTCATCCCAGTAGCTCAGCTTTACTAAGACAGGGATGTTTGATTACATTCTGCTGGACACAGTTTGAGGACAACTTGCAGTTCAGCGCAATCAGTTTCAAAAATCAGCCTGAAAGGGCCCTCCCACCTTGAAAACCCTCCAATCTTTGATGCCACCTGATGACAATATCCAAGCAACACAAGCAAAGCAGATAAATGCCAGTACTTTCACCTGCTCCCAATGGAAATGAGAAGATCCAAACACAACAAAAAAGCCATATTAAGGAACCCCTAGCCAAAACGTCAGCATCAGTCTTCTCCAAGCAGTACCCCTCCTTTTTTGGAAGGTGCCAATTTTCTTCCCGCAAAAAACGATGGGCAGAACTTGGAAGTAGCCCATGTGTCAACCCATTGTAGAGCCACACGGGGATACTTTAAAACTTCTTACCAACGTAACGTACAAAATACGACACCCAGTGACAGCTTTACAGCTCGCTTCTTGCCTTCCTTTCTAAAGAGCAGCAGCAGCCGCAGCAGCAGCACAACACAGGGGATTGCCACTTCACACAACCGCAGTCGGGACGCCCCGACGCCGCCAACCACGCCTCCCGCATTCAAACACAACACTGTGGAGCAAGGCCGTGTAAGGGGCGCCGGATCGGCCGGCGATTTAGCACCCCATCCGGTCAGCGTTAGCGTGACGTCTTGAAGCTTTCCCCTCAGCGGACGCTGCGCGCGGCCTTATGCGTTTGCGCATCTTCCGAACGGAATCATGCTTACCTGTTGGTTTAGTCACCTCGAACACTGCAATGTTAACTTAAGAGTGAGTATCTATTCGTTTTTTGGTATTTATGCGGACGTCGTCAAGAAATTAAAGTCACTTTATCAAAAGGTGACCTCTGTGTGGATTCGGAACCTTAACTGTGTTTGTAGTTTTCATTTCAATTGGGGGGCCTTAGCCCTTCCTCGAACTTGGGCTCCAGTTTCCTTCCCCCAAATTGTGACAGAAATTGGACCAAGTCTAGTAACCTGGTTGTTGGCATATTTTCGGAGTGGGTGAGGTCATTTCTCACTATTCAGCCCCCCCCCCCCCCAACCCCCAACCCCCCAACCCATTTCGTGAAACTACGCCCCTATTGCAAGTTTATCGCCCACGCTAAGTGGAATCTGAAAGTAATGTGGCCAATACAGCAAGTCAGGCTTACACAGTCATGCTCATCGTTCTCGCTCCTTCGCCGCCGTCGGTTTCTGTGTCACCCACTCGCGGGCGCTCACGGCCCTCGAAACAGGTCAGCCTGGAGGTCAAACAGTCCTGAATCTCGAGTCCGGGCTTTCCGGCTGAGCTTGTTCAGACAGCTTGTGATACACTAGCTGTGAACCGCGATGGTTAGCGCGATATTTCCAGAGCAGGCCTCAGGTGCATGGCAGAGAGACAGGTCCCGCTTTGACCTCAGTAGCCTCCGCACAGAGTCCGCACCATATGTCCCAAGGTGGTCACTGATGCCTCGGCAGGCTCCGTACAGTCAGGCAAGGCGTCCTGCTGTGATCTTCCGCCACCTCCACAAAGATCCCAGGTCATGCGTCAAAAGGCGGGTCCCTGTGACCTCAGGCAGACCCCTGACAACAGACACACCTCATGCGTTCCAAGGTGCTATAATGATTATAAGTCAACCCCCCACAAGCTCAATTCAAGTGTCGTAAAAAGGCCGTTGCACTCCCAGTCCGTCGGTCGCCACATAGGGTAGGTCAGGTCCGGTGCCATAATCGCCGGAGTGCCGGCCCTTTGCTATGTGCCTAGGCAGTGTGAACAGGAGTTGTTGCGGTCCCGTTCATGTCCAGCCCCAACCAGGGCGGATCCAGAGGGGGGCGGGGTCATGCTCTCCTTGGGACTCGAATGGACCCATCAGCTCTGAGCGGCCCATTGCTGGCCGACAGACGCATTTTTCCACAGATCGCGATAAAAATTGGACGTCTTGGGGCTTCTAGGCGACTAGGAACATTCGCAAGCAAAAGTGAAGGGCCCAACAGTAGACAACATTATGATTCACGGATTGAGGGATCGTGTTAGCAGGTTTTAAGACTGCTTACGCTGTTCAGAGGCCCTACACTGTTTCCGGGTCCCTATATGTTCACCTGCGGGGGCAGCTTGATCGTTAAGGAACCTTCTATGTTACCCATGATTTCTCTGCATTTACTCGGAGGGCTTCGCCCTGTTGATGGGGCCCGTCTCGCCAGCCTGCCGAGGCACTCTTGGCCAATCAGAGCCCTTCCATGGATTCTTTTTTATTCGTCCGAAACGTTCTATACGCTGAAGCCGGGGCCGTATGCTGACATGCCGGGGTATTTTCAGTCGCTCAGGGGCTTTTCACGTTGGTCACGGTTAACCTACCGGCACACTCACGATATGCTTGGGCCTCCTACATTGGTCCTTACAATTTTCTGTCACTTGCGTAGGGCCCTACGCTCTTGTCTGGGGCCCATCTGCTAACCTTCTTGGGCTTACTTGGTCGTTCGGGCCGTCCAAATGGGTTCTTGGCTACTTTTTATTTGCATGGAGGGTCCAACGCACCTCTTAGGATCCCATTCGTTGACTTCCTTGGGCACACTAGACTGTTCGGGGGGGGGGGGGGGGCGCATATTGGGTCCTGGTATTTGAATGTAGGGCCCTACGCCCCTGTCAGGGGCCATCTGATAGCCTTTACTGCCACACGCGATCTTTCGGGGGCCCACACATTGGGTCTTGGGTGTTTCTCATTTGAATGGAGGGCCCTACGCCCTTGTCGAGACCCCTTCTGATAACCTGCTCTAGCACACTCGATCGGTAGGAAGTCATCTACATTGTGTCTTGGGTACTTTCTATTTGAATGGAGGGTCCCACACTCTTGTCGGGGGCCCTATCTGTTAGCCTGCTCGGGTGCACTCAATCGGTTGGGGCCCCCTCACATTGTGTTGTGGATATTTTTCTTGAAGGGAGCGTCCTACACCCTTGTTGTCCCACCCCCCCCCCCCCTCCCCTTCGCCACCTGTTAACCGGCTCGGGCACACTCGATCATTTCTGGGCCCTCCATATTGTGTCTTGGGTACTTCTTATTTGAATAGATGGCCTTATGTTCTTATCGGGGCCCAATCTATCAAACTGCTCGAGCCAATGGCGGATTCAGAGGGGGGCACGGAAGCGTGCTCCCCCTGAGCCCCGAGGGAACCCATAGGCCCTGAAGGGGCCCATGACCAGGCGTACGGACGCAGTTTTCAAACAAAAACGCAACAAAACTGGACGTCTTTGGGCCTACACACGACCGAGAACCGCCAAGAGCGAAAGGGAAGCCCGTGAGCAGATAAACTAAATATGCTCTCCAGAAGCGCACGCTGCTGCCGGAGCCATACATGTCTGATTGCCGGATCAATCTTTGCATTTTCTCGGAGGGCCCTACGCTGCTGTTGGGACAATATCTCCTAACATGCCTGGGCACTCTTGAGCGTACATCACGAGAGCACTCTTGAGCGTGCGAGCGCACACGCGAGTACACTCAGTTACTGAGGGGCGCTTCATACTGGTCCCGGGTTCTTTCCACTTGCTCGGAGGGCCTTGCTCTGTTGCTGGGCCCGATATAAGGCAAGGTACTGAGCCACTCCATGCTTAGGTCTCTCTTCATTGATCTAGGGTTCTTCCTTTTGATTTCGTTTGCGGAAAACCCTTCACTCCCATCGTGACCCTTTCCCTTAACCTCCCCGGGCACCCTTGGTCGTACAGGGCATTCATTTATGCATACTGGTAGTGCGCACACACGCACACTGGCCCCTCTGCTCAAAGGACCCTGTGCTCTGGCAAGGGTCCTGAATGTCAGCCTGCTGGGCACCCCCGATCGTTCAGGGGCGTGCCACGTTGGTCTTGGGTTCTTTTCCCTTACTTTGAGGGCCCCATACTAGTTGACGGAAGTTGTGTTGTTGGCCTGCCGCGGTACTCATTATCGCTCAGTTTTCGTCGCTGTTGGCCTTGGTGCCTTACACTTAGAGTAACAGTCGGATGTGGGCCGATTAATTTTGATTGGCAACTGTCGTAAATAGTTTTACGTTCCGCCGACGCCATCTGTGATATTTCGGTTCGTTATTTAATTCGTGGCACCTTTCATGCTTGAGCATCATATGCTTGTTCGTTTTATATCGTGCATTTTAATGTTATGATGTTTTGTACCCCCTCATAACAAAAACAGCAAAACTCCGCATTAGTCATCAGCCACCAGCTGAGCATATCGATCAGCCGGTTAGCTGGAAATATGCATGGAATCAAGTTTGTGCTTGATTTTAAGGGTATTTAGAAACCAACTTTAGCTTATTTTGCCTAAAAACTTAGCTTCAAAATGGTAGGATTCACCACGGTGTGGAGAAAATGAATAAGCTCCGTGTATGTGCATACGTAGCACGCCTAGCTCTTTAGGGATACGCACAGTAAAGTGGGTTTCCGTACACAAATGGTATGCTAAAAATCTTAAAATCTGGTAGCCGGACTTCAGCGATTTTTTGGGGGGGCGGGGAGGCTGAACTCTAGGGGGGCCACAATGCTGCGTGTCCCCCACGAAATCCTAGATCTGCCCCTGGTCCCAATACGATCTGATTATCAAAACGCTCTATGCCGACGCTGGGGCACCTCAGTGAATCCGGCTGGGCAGTGGCCAGTCCTCAAGTTACGCACTTCGGGGGACGACACCGGAGCCGTGCCCAGCACAGCCAAAAACGACATGCAAGATCACTCACGCCTCGCTACGAGCTTCTCACCGCTCCTCACTCCCGTGACAAGAGGACTGTGCATAAACTCCCTGGAGTTCCAAACGCGTCACGTCGTAAATACCGCAAACATCAAGAGAGCGCAGAGGTAGTTGCCGCAGTTTAAAAACATCAGAGCGACCACGCAACCAGTGCCGTGTGTGGCGTGGTGCTAGTTACGCCACCATCTTGTAAATCCGGCTGGTGGCGTCGCGCGATCTACAGTTCCGCGATGCTGGTACGTCAGCACCGGCCGCGCCCAGCGTAATAAAAGCGTGTCGCACCAGCAACGGACGGCAGCGACAGCGGATAGCCCACACGTCTCAGTGAGTAGTTTGAACGGAGTGAGCCAAACATTGCTGGCAGTGCAGCAGTCCCACAGCTCACGAACGAATCGCCACCGGCGAGCCACGCAAGCTAGCGGGACACCAGTCCGAGCCAGCGGGAGGCCCCGCCCGTCGGCAGGAATCGCATGCACCAGTCGTGCCACAAATGCAACCTTGTTTAACACTTTAGTCAATCTTTAAAGCATTAAACACTGCGCCAGATGCGATATTTCCGGCGCGATGTGGCGACGGAACCAGCGGCGCAGCAGCGGCGGAACCGGAATGCTCCAATGACGTCATCGCCCTGTACTGAACCGTTCGGCATCTCACCAATGCGAAATACCATCCCCCCCCCCCCGCTACTATTCAGTTTTGTGGCAGCGAAAAAATTGCTCTATCTGAAAGTTTTTCAGTGGATTTTCTCCACCGGTGACGATTCTTAACCACCGGCATAAATGCGCATG